ACTAACCAAGTGAATATACGGAAATAGATCTATGAAATAATAAAACAAAAAAAAAATACATATATTTCATTTATCTATGAGATTAATATACCGATTTTGAAAGAGCTCCAATGGAGTTAATAACTTGATCTTTATTTTGACCTTTGTTGACATATTCATTACCGACCTAGATATTTATATTAATAAATAATTAATTATTGATCATTATGAAAATCAATCAAACCTTAATACGAGGTTTAAGTAAACCTTTAATAAGGTCAGCTGCTTCAACACCAAGTAAATGAGCAACTTTTTCAACTTCTTCTGTACCCTCAGTTTCAGCTTGTTCTTCTCGAGGTCGTTGTTTCCATTGAGAATTACCAAAATGCATTATAGATGCAGTACATTTGAATAAATTGACCTTTTCTTCCTATAAAATATTAAATAAAAAATGTAAAATAGTATAATTAATATATAAATATTAACCTTGGTAAAACCGAGAATATCAAAAGCTTCATCAGTAAGTCGCATTTCTTCAGCATCGTCCACGTTATCAATTGTAAGCATACCTTGAGCTACATAAAAGAATTTCGATGGATCATTGTCAATTAAACATTGTTCTAAATAAAAAATAGTAGATATTTTAATAATAATATATTTCATAATTAATTCATATGTACCATGATATGCAGGAAATGCATTTGAGCAAAGTTGATAGAAAATATGATAGTTACGTTCAGCTAAATAAATAATTCAATGATCAATTGCTTTTTTTTTTAGAAAAAAAAATCAAATTTTACCTGGTTGCTAAAAAATAAAAATAAAAAAAATTAGTATTATTCATAATTATATATCTTAATGAATGAAATCTTTCGAATAATTTTCTTCCTATATGTAAGTCTGTCAGAGAGTTGTTATTTATCATATCAATAGTTACATTTATGTATACAATGAGTTACAATAGTAATGTATATATTAACTATACTAATATGAAAAAAAAATTGTTTCTTAATAAATAATCTTCTGACAAAATTACATATAAATGAAAAAGATCATCGAAAAAATTTTGTTTTCATCACTATGAAATAGTTTACCTGAAAGATGACACGAGATTTTTCTAATAGATATACTTCAATATCAGCACCAGCAATTTTACCCGATGGACCAAAGTGAATACGAATAAATTTACCCTGAATAGAAATATTTTTCATTTATGAATTTTATCAATTAATCATAACTTACAAATCGAGATGAGTTATTATTACGAGTGGTTTTTGCATTACCATAAGCTTCCAAAACGGGATCTAATTAAAGTAATAAATAATTTTTTTTTGATAATGAATATGATAAAAAAAAAACATTTTAACTTACTAGCTGATACAATTTGATCTTCAAGTGTCATGGTTTTCTATGATTTTTTTTATAGAAAAAAATATAAGATTATTATTATTCATTTTTTTTGCTCTATTAATGAATTACCTTTCCATCATCTTCTTTTTTAGCTCCAGCAGCAGCGACCAAGGCAAAATATTGAATAACTTTTTTTGTATTTTCTGTTTTACCAGCACCAGATTCACCAGTGATCAACATCGATTGATTTTCACGATCTAGATTTTAAAGAAATTTAGGATGAATTTTCTATTAGCATATGACACAAAGATAAACCTATATGTAAGAGTATATTTCATAGGACTTGATTTTTAATTCAATTATGAATTTTTAAAATAATACAGTGTTTATTCTTTTTTTTATTACATTGATAACCAATTAGATAATTTAAAGTATCTTTTTTTTCTATTGATTATTTCATAGAATAAACAAAATAATTTGTTATGATAACTAATCTCTTGAATTAATTAGTTTTGCTTGATTTACATCGTTCTTTTTTAAGAACATCTGTGTCTGTATTATCGATAATATCTTAGTCTTATTGTATTTAGATTAAAAACAAAATATATAGCAAAATATCGAAAACAATCATTTGGAAAATGTCTCAATATGTTATTGTCATTTCAACATCTTGTTTGATTATTAGTATTGTTTGTCTCAATCCTTATAGCAGAGATTATTCTAGAGAGTAAAATAAGCGTGTCCTATTTGGTTCTGTTAAGCGAAGATTTTTTTTTGTCCGGAAAATTGCAAACATTATATTCCTTTTAAAAACAGATGTTTTGATTTGCTTCGATAATATCAAAAGCTAGAAGAGTAATACTAATGTTATTATCAGATGATTTCCAAGACGATCATATATCTTATCAGATGCGTAGTTTGGAATGGAAAAAAAAGTAGTTTGTTCTCATAAAATAACAAAAGCTGTATTTAGATTATGATATTTAATGAGAAAAAAAATTGCGAAATAGAGCTATTTCGATAAATTAGCTTACCCCGAAGCATATTAGCATAAGCATTGTCAGAAATAGCATATAAATGTGGTGCAACTTCAGTACGTTTTTTACCACGATATGAAAGTACTACTTTCATAGTATAGATTGGTAAACGTTTATATGGATTAATGACAACACAAAATAATCCTGAATAAGTCTAGAAATAGAAGAGAAAAAAAACGTTTATATTATTTTATATCATTATCAATAATCATACATAGATAAGCCATCGTGAATAACGATCACGTAAAGTAGCTAAAACTGAAGCATCATTCAAATAGGTTAAATCAGCCATATCATCAATACACCAATATTTTGGTGGATTCATTTCTTGAACATCATCTTTTTTCACTGTTCTTGTCTAAGTAAAATAAAGAAAAGATTATTGATTAAAGAATTTTCAATGAAAAGAAAAAAAAACATTCTACATACTTCTCCTTTGGATGTTTTAACTGTAACTTCATTATCTTTGATACTTTCAATTTCAGCAGCAATATATGATTCCTTTGGATCAGGTACCCAACATGCTTTTTTAGCATCAAATGGTTGAGATCGAAGTTTAATTTTTTCTTCAGATGGTAAAGCCAAGTATTTCATGGCGTCTAATAATTCAGGATCATTTGGATCAAGTACGACTCTGTAATCAATATTAAAATAAAAATTATTCGTAAATTTATTTCAAACAATTCAACATACCCTTCGGCAACCATGATTATAGTTTAGTTCAATAAATGTTCTAATATATAACAAAAAGAAAAAAATAAATAAATAAATAATTTCTATAGAAAAAAAAAATATTTAGTTTTCAATAGTCAATACCTAATAGATAACAGGACGAGCTAAGGATGCGTGTTTTGCACACAAACGGTAACTTTGTTAGTTAGCAAGCCGTTTATATAGTTTCGACAATGAGAGATCGGAGAGAGAGAGAGAGAGAAAAAAGAATAAATGTCATAGGCATAATCTGGTTATTCCATTATTGTCTGATTACTTTATAAGGCAATATTTTATGCTTCGCTCTTTTACCATAGAATTATTCTGGGATCTTATGTGATGCTTGAGCAAATTCTTTAATATATCACATACATATGTCGTTGTTGATATGAGAATTCAATGCAGTTTGGACTGCGCGAAAGAAAATGGAAAATATCTTTTAGCTCTAAGGTTATTATAACCATAAAGCTTTACAAAACCAGATGAAAATGATTGATATCGATACAATATCAGAATTTGAAGTCACCTTAAACTTTGTAAATACAAGAAAACAAAGCTTTAAGTTTTTTGGATGATACTATTCAGACAACAAATTGAGCTTTCAATTTCATTAGAACTCAGAAAAAATTTATTATCAATATTTATGTAATACAAAATTTGCAATATGCAATACTCATTGTTTTAGTTCAAATGAATAAAACATTAATAGCAAAAGTAACAAAAAGTTTGTTACTGCAAACATATATATACAATTATTAATAACATCTTAATATTGACAAGATAACAAAGATATATTATCCATAGACAAAGTAATCATAACCTTAATTTTTTATTATTTCGATCATATTCTTAGATCGTGTGTTAGATAAGTATAAACTGTATTAAACATTTTTGTTTCGGTATAGCTTTTATATTCTGAGTTTTTTCTGTTATTCAAGGAGTATGTCTACCGTAAGGATACAACACAGTTTATCTTATTTCTTTTGCAACGTATAATCAATATGCTTCAGAATTCAGTTGCTTTCTAACGTTCGTCCTTAAATATTGATGATGCAGAATAATTTCTTTTTCATATGGGAGGGAAGAAACTCGTTCTTGCTCTAATAATCATAAATATGAATGCTTCGATGGAGAGACCAGACATGGTTAAAATTTTTTTGTTAGATGACAATTTATCCAAATATCTGTTTTTGATGTCGACTGTGCAGTAGTCATGTATTTTATAGTTACTATTGTAATTTGAACAAGTATGTTTTGTTGATATATTACTAATTCAGACATGAGACTCAAAGAACAGTGAACGGTTACAATACCATTCTCAATGTACATGAATGATTTTCCTGAACACTTTATATATTTTTTTATTCTATAAATACGTCAATTAACCTATTGTGAGAGTATGCGAATGCGCAAATGAGAGTATTAATATAAGTAAGCATGCATTTCTCTTCATTATCAATCTCATTCGGCCTAGACTCATACGTATCCTTACATTCACACTCACACCCTTATATTAAGTTTTGTTTGTGTTTAATAGTTGTTTATTCCAGATTAAAACCCAACTAAAATAAAAAGAAAAGATTATAATGAAAGATTATTACATAAGAACCAAAACAAAACATAAATATAATTGAAAAACAATTAACAAAAAGACAAATATATGGAGGTTCTCATCTCATCAATTGATAAGTCAATAATAAAGGTTAAAATGACATGAAAAATTAGATACGGAAATACATTGAAAAAAAGTATGTATAATTTATGCGATGTGTAAGAAATCAAAATATATAAACCAGAAGTCAATAATAATACACAATAATACAAAGTTTGACATTTTTTTTTCAAATATCATGAAATATTTTTAACAATAAAATATTTCTTTAAAAGTGTATTTTTCTATGTATAACCTCTTTCATATTTATTTCAGTAAGCTTCAACAAGAGCATTTCCTTTTGTAGATCTTCTGACATTTCTAAGAATTTCTTCAGTTACTAGATCTGTTAACATTTGTGAACTTGATGAAGAATTTATGTCTAACATATCACAACGTCCACCTGTTTCATTGACAATCTGTTTAAAAACTGCTTCAGCTCGTTGTTCAATAAAAAAAGCATGTACTGGAATTCTATGTGCTTTCAATTTTTCTAACTCATCTTTATAATAGGTCGGTCGTGCAAATTTAGTTCCTTTCCAATATTTTTCTCCATAGTAGTTTCTTTTCTCATTTTCTTCATTCTTTGTATTTGGAAGAGTATCACCTATCAAAATAACTTGTGTAATATTTTCTCTTTCATTTTCTTGATTTCCATGCCATACACCAGTTTCAATGGCTGCATTATTCCAACCTTCTTCAACTTCAATTGTATTCATAAAAGCATGTAAATTATCGGGTTTAGTTTACTATTATAATTTCGATACACAACAAACTGAATTTGGAATGAATCTAGTCTAATATCATAATCTTTGAAAATTTTTGAAGCTCGTCCAAACATAATGTCTACTGTTTTCTTTTACACTTATGCAACAAATAGTACATTGAACTGGTTGCATCCATGAGCCAAACGGTTCGTGTAGTGTAAGATGCTTCTACTCCTTTATTCTCCTTCACTAAAAACTTTTTGACGGAATCGATATTCACCAGAAATAAGATTCCATAAAAAGTTTTTTGACAATTTTATGTTTTTCTCTTGCATGTTCAACATATTTTGTATTCATATCATACTTTGTCTTAAATATATCAATGCATCTCTGATTAAGAAGATCATATATAGTTTCAGAATTATTTCTAATTCTATGATTATCGGAAATTCGAGTAAGAATTCCTTTATCCTTTGTAACATCTTCAATATCTGTTTCTTTTTCTATATGAAATTTCTCGAAATCACAATCGTGTAGAATCATACTGTAAGATCCATGATTACCTTGTCTCGTTGTTCTACCTTTTATTTGTACTTCTTCTGATATTTTTTTCTGAAAGAAATGTTTGAATAACATGAGTACCACCATTTTTAGTGACAATTCCATCGTGACATTCCAACTAACCTATTCTGAATTTCTCATTGTATTACATTAAAATACTCATTTTCAATCATAATATCATCTTGTATTGTAAATTTAAGATTATTTATTCCAAATGCACATGGTCTATATGTATTTTTTGTAATGTTATATACATTTTCTATTACTTTTCCTTCAAGATCACTTAAGTTTTTAATATACCTGTAACATCCATAATATATTGAAATTCAAATGGTGTGGAGTGTGGGTCATTTATTCTTTCAGGCTCATCCACTCATCCCCACATCCACATCCGTACCAACACTTACTACTTTCTAAAATGTCGACAAATCGATCATTCACTAGTTATTGTTATGTGATTTCAATATATTTGATCACGTATAGGTACTACAAACAATTAATAGTTAAACTAACTACTTACTAGTCGCTAGCAATAGGTGAGTAGTAACAATTACCTTCCACTAGCACACTATAGAGGCTCTACTTACTGACAACTTTACAATGATATAATTTTTCAAGGTCCAGCTTATTTTTCTGATAATTATAACTTAACGAAAAAAGATCATTTGAATGTGTTTTTTTACCGCAAAAATACATGACCATATGTCAACCAGCCATTCAATAAGTATTTTGACGTGTCGATTTTAGGTTGTTGTGACCATCAAAATTTCAAACTTACCCCTCGGATTTTTATTTTCCGATGGGTCGAAAGTTCAGCGATGAATCAGTCAATCCAGACTTTTCCCAAAGGCATCAGAGTTTGATCAAAATAAAAAAGATTTTGAACTATAGATATCTCATTCTCAAGTCGTCGAAATCTATCAAATAAACGTGAAGAAGAAAATTCAAACATGAATACTTGCGACTAACATTCGTCGAACCTCTACACTAAATATGAACTATTATTCTTCTCTGACATTATTTTTCTCAATTCTTAAAAAGATAGGACTGTTAACATTTCTATTTTAACATTTGTTAGCAGTTTTTAAATGTCAGAAAAAAAAACACTTTTTGCATATCTTAAACTGAAGAAAGGCTTTTTTGCTAGATAAAGCATAAAATCAATATTTATGAATTTTTTCCAAACGGTAAAACACAAAATTTGTTATAATTGTGTTTTTGTCAAGACAACTTATAAATATTGGCCCTACTTGTTATTTTCCATCAATTAAATCGCTTTTTGCAGAAGCTGAATAAAGTTAAAATTAATCTCACCACTTGAAACTGTTATTCTGCTAGGCTTGTTTCTACTGGAGCACTCAATAGTCTTCTTACGATGTGTTTCTTTTACTCGAGTACTCGAAACTTCAATGAGTGTTGAGACATCTGAATGTTCTTGAGAAGTCGAAAATAAATGTCCGATAAGGTACAGTTTTCGAGTGCTTGGAATCCGATTCCTTTCATTAGGCTCAAAATTGGAACAAAGCCAGCAAAATATGTATATTTCAAACTTTTGAGTGCTCATCACACCTATCGTATGCTTTCCAATGTCTGCTTGGATAAAATTTTTTTAATGATTTCGGTGAGAATTTTGGAAAATATACAATTCAAGAGCATTGAATGTAAATATTTCGTTAATAAACGCTTTTTTTTCTCATCAGACGAGCAAAAACTCTAAAAACCTCAAAATGGACTCTAAAACACGCATTAATAGCATCTATAGACGAATTTTTCAGCAAAACCACACTCCAAAAACCTTGCTCTTAAAAACTTGGTTTTCTAAAAATTTCCATGACTCCAAACAAATCTTTTTTGTTTTATCATCATTCAGAAGTTTCAAAGAAGAATCTATATCTTTAGCCTTGGCTTGGAAATTTTCTTTCGTTGATAAACGAATATTTACATTTGTATATTTGTACTTCCTCAAGTCGCCAACAAAAATCAATGAATACATGAATGTTAGATAGAATTGATTGAGTAATTTCAACGAAATTCTTTGGTTTGAATCTCATAGTCGCTCTGAAAATGCGCGATACTTTTTATTGATTATTGACACTCTGTAGTTAATATATTTCTTTGACAATATTCGCAATGATCTTATAATAATAAAGTGATAATTGCCTGTTACATTTAGAGTATGATCCATTCCGTCGATCCTGAACCTGGTCCGATCTAGAAACAACATGAAAATTTCTAATGTTAAGCGAATCAAGACTAAACAACATCATCCTTTACTCTCAAATAAATGAAGGTGTACGACATAGACAACATCACCATTAACAGTATTAAATATGTAGTTTATAGTTTCCTAATAAAATCTTAAAGAAGACTCTTGCCTTCTCTACAATAGAATTGTAACAAAAAGTGATATTTGAATATGAGTAAGAATCAAAAAATTGATTATAAGAGATTGCAGAGCAACTAAAAAAAATTGAATTTATTCCAATAAGATTATCATATTTCTACATGAGCATCAGCAAAAGAGAACTTTGCCCTTTCTTTAGATGAATATTCAGTCTAGCAGCAGTGTATTTGATCCGAATTACTGTTTCTTGGACTTAACGTAGTTGAGTGTTTAAATAAATTGGGTATCGGAGTAGTACGTGTGAAAGACAGTATGAGTGAAATAAATATTCATTGCAACACCTACATCTGAAAATTATTAAATACATCATCGGTATTAGCATCTGGATAGAATTCATCAATTGTAAGTGGTTATATCCGTTCAAATGAAGACGATGGTTTTTATTTCGAATAATTGAAACATCCATTTTTTTTGTTGATAATAGATAAAAGTTTAGCGTGTTATCCATATGACTCTTCATAATAGTGTCAATTATTGCCTGAGACAATATCATATGTTTCACTCAACTCAGATTGATCAATTTCTTAATAATGAGTGGTTGTATGTCATTTGTCTTCACTAACACTCTCATACCTAAAAAAATTTCAGTATGTCTGACTGCTATGTTTTTCGATCAAAAATAGTCTATTGCATGATTTGCAAGCTGTCTGTTTAAAAGTTGAACATGAGCTAATTGAAGAAAAATTGTACAAAAGCAATCGAACAATCAAATGTCGCTTCAAACATATCGGTAGAATCACGCACTTCAAGTCCACATAAGTGAGTATTACTCTTTTTTGCAAGGACTTTCATTATTGGTTTCGATTGAGAACAGTTTTTAAAATAGATTCAGTCGTAAAGTTTAGATGTCGAAGGTCAATGCCATCTTTATGAATTGACAGCACTTTTTATCCTCAAGTGCGGATAGCATCCTTTGTATTGAATGTAGATCGAATATAATAATGAAAAATAGTATTATTTCTTCTATATGTATCAGAGAAAATTGAGCATTGATATACTAATCCGTACATTCTAAATTTCATCATTAGCACAATGATAAATATTCTTTCTGTGATCGACAAACAACAAGAACAAAATAGGAAAGAAATACACGTGCTTAAATCGACGAAGGCAAAAATTACTCACGCTTGCATCATCATATCTTGCAAAGTAACCCGAACGCAAAGAAAAATTATGCAATAAAATTAGAAAACATATCCCGCAGCTCGGAATCGAACCGAGGCCATCCGATTTCTGTGATCAATTTATTTTTACAGTCGGAGATCATACCATTAGACTACAGCGGGATGTCTTATCTTTTTTTCCTTCTTTTTCTCTTCAAGATGTGAGCTATTGAAAAGTTGTATTGATTTCAAAAGGAATATCTTCGGTAAAACAGATCAGCTTTTAGTACATATTTTACATAGAGATAATATTGAAGGAGCAAATACTTTAAATTCGTTAGGGGTATAGCCATGAGTGCAATACCATTGGTCAATATTCAGCATGTTGGTAGTTTTTGAATGAGTGTATGGATTTGTATACTTTTGTATTGACAGTCAGCCATTCGTCTGTGATAATGCAATCAAATAACATCAAGCAATTTGCTTAAGTATGTTGACATGAATAGATAGAACAATACAAGAGTAACGAAGAGAGTATAATCTGAAGCAATATTGATGTCTTCCTCATGAAGTAACATCTGGTATTTGAGAAGACGAAGAACGTAAGAATGAAGCAGAACATACACACACAAAATTATGTTCTGCTTTGACTAATCAATAGACCAATTTTTTATGTGTATCAAACCATCAATCAAGAAGTATTAATAAGACCTTCCCCCTTTCCCGACCCACAATTTTCAGTTTTTTCGTTTTTTATTTTTTGTGTTTGGCATGTAGATATAAATGCTCTCTATCTACTGAGCACATTTTAAGAAGGCAAAACCATCTTTTACATGTTCAAACCTCGGAAAAAAACTCAAACTTTTCTATGGGGTACTTCGATCAAATCGAAGTGTGTCTTTTTTTTGTTTTGAAAATATTGTACCGATAAAGTTTGTAGGCTT